GTATATCATATTATTAAAACAAACACAAATATATGTAGTTATTTTGTTCGTACAAATAGGAACAAAAATAGAAAAATGAGATTTTGTCTTTATTAAGGGAAATTTTTACATAATTTTTTTTTAGTGCAAAACAAAAAGAATGAAAAAAAGATTTTGTATGTTAGTTTAAGAAGGAAAAGTGTTACAATACTTTTGTTTAATTTTCAAATTATCATAAATTCCATAATTTTCCGGGGTGGCTCTCACGCTCGCGACCTCTGGTCTTGATGAGTCTCCCAGAACCTACAATTTCAATTTTTTTTATATATATAATTATATTTGCAATGATTGTGTATATATCATTTTGTAATTGTGATTGATTGTGTACATGGCGAAGCTATAAAATTCAAAGCCATTAATTTCATTCTTCAACGTGTCTAACGTATTAATCAGATTGTTCGACCTCACAAGCCAGAGATTATCTTCAAATGTTGGCAATTGCCACCATTACCATTTAACACCTTCACTGTCGTCGTCGTCGTCGTCGTCACCGCCATTATCCTCCTCCTTGGCGCAGTAGCGGAAACGGTTTGGCAGTCGGGGTTTCAATCTCTCGCTGTGTTGTACCGCACTTTATCTGCATTGCTTCTCTCCACCCAGGAGTACAAGTGAAAAGTTCGAGTGCAAAATGCACGGAATATTTCATGCAGCAAACTATGGATTTCCCGCATGCATCGTTCCAATGACTGGGGTAATCATGCGTGCTATATAAAAACCACATATCATCATCATCATCTTAATCAAAAAACTAAATAAATATTTCCATGATGGCGAAAATGATGATGTTGCCGAAGTTTCCTTTTACCAAGGGGTTGGGGGACCCGAAGATCCTTTTGATTGACATCAGTGGACGAAGTTCAAAGCTGATATCTCCTAATTGTTTTCAATAAGTCAGAAATCTCTGCAACGCAATGTCTGCTAACTCCATGACGTCATACATCTGTGTGAATATTTAAACTTTATAAGCATCTCTGGTCATACATGTTTAAGACAGTTGATTTATTACTACAGTACTATATTAACGTATATGACTACTGCATAAGATACAGTCTTGTCAGACTTTCAAATCTTACTTGACAAAAAACTGTATACCAATTTAAAAAAAAATTATTTGAACTTTATTTAATGACGATAACCCATGCAACTCACCCTTAATAGAGAGCCGATATTAACCCATATATAGTCACAATGTGCTCATTATTATGGTCATGATGTGACGTCATCATGACCATATTTAGGCATGTCAAATATTTTTGTCAAATCAAATTTGATAGTCTGGACAGGTCTTCAGCCTGTTGTATTTTTAATGGTTTGTTGACAAAGAAACAAGTACAGGTCTCCCTCTAATTAAAGACCACTCCAAAAGATCACCTCCAATTAAAGACCACGTTTCTGTGGTCCCTAATTAACAAATGTCTTTTATCTTTATTATTCTAATTAGAGACCAAAGCTGCTAAAGTCCATGGAAATCCCGGTCCCAAAAGCCATGTTTAATTGGAGGGAAACCTGTACATTATTTTGTACTGTATGATGTACCATTCTTTATTTTTATTTATTTATTTTTTTGGCAATGAAAATATATATTGCAATTTTTTAGCAAATTAATAATGCTGGACAGTTATCACACCGTAATTTCTATTACTGTACAGTATTACAATTTAACGATCCTCATCGACATTTATTACGTTTTATCAAGTTGATTATTGTATAAGGTGTTTTTTTTTTCTCTCTAATTTTCCTTCTGTCAGTCTTTCCGTAGAGCTTGCCTAAGTTGAATCTAAAATGGCATTCAAAAATTGTTCGACTTAAATAAAATTTGACTTACAAATTGTTAATTAATATCTATTAAACCTGGTGCTACTGTTTGAAACAGAAAGTGACTGTCTCAACCTAACACAAACATCGACGTCAAGCTTTCCAGATTTAGCCCTTGATCCCCCTCCTGATTTCCTGTTGTAACATTAACAATGAAATTGCTTGTTTATCACGTAAATATAAATAAGTCGTTTAAACATGTGTAATGGGCCTTTCCGCATTGTCAAACACGTGCTGTCCTACAAACGCGCGTGATTACAAATCGAAAGCGTCGGCTTATACGCATTCGCATTATATCGGAGTTTTTGCTAAGTGAAAAAAAGTTCAGGAAGCGAACCGACGCGTTCGATTCGCGCGAATAAATTTGTCTGGTGGAAAACCAGCTTTAAAGCCTGTTTTTCACTAGGCTGATCTATTCGCGCGAAACGAAAGCGTCGGTTCATGCGCATTCACATTCCTATCGGAGTTTTTGTGAAGCGAAAAAATGTGCAACCAATCAGAGCTCAGGAAGTGAACCGACGCTTTGATTCGCGCGAATAAATTCGTCTAGTGGAAAACAGTGTTATCTTTTGTTATGGACATTTTCAGAGAGGGCAACGATTTTTATGAGAGGGTGCAGCCCCAACATACCCCTGGCCTAATTGCTGCTGTAAACTCGATCGTATACATTGAACACACACAAAATAGGACACAAATACCATACTAGAAATATTATTAACTTTCAGTTCATAATAGAATTTATTCCGATGGCACACACAGTGTGTCATAACAAGTTTACTCTCTGTACACTTAGGACGATACCATCATAACATCTACAGTAAACACTAAACGTGTTTGTTCAGACAAGAAATAGCTATAAAACTCAACACAATATCACAGTACCTCACTCAATATAGCAATACACATCTTAGCCAGGCGTAGTAGGTTGACTTTATAAAAGACCAGCTTTAAAATCAAATCGTTGAGGGCAGTGGCGGCGCCGGAGATTTCCTGGCAGGCGTCCAGGTTACGATGACGATGGTCATGCGCACCCTGGACTCCCTCGCTCTGGCGCCGCCACTGGTTGAGGCTCAATCAACAAACCCAAATCTTATTTTAAACCACCCCTTGCCAACGTCTTATTTATCTAAATTATTTCACATGAAATTCAACAGATCATGCTTACAGAATTACAACAAACACATCAAGTTTGGCAAAACACATTTAAAGAACAAAAACTTCTGTTGAAAATGTCATATTGGGAATTAATCAGAATCATTCAACCATGTATTAAAAAAGTACATAATTCAAGTTTATAAGTATAAATCAATTACATGGTTTGAGTAGAGATTTAAACAGACATCGTAAAGCAACTATAGGTACAGCGAATAAGTACCCAAAGCACCAATCATGTAAAACAAAGTGTTTAATTAATGTAATCAAACAATTGCCACAAAATAAATTCTTGAAAATTATCACCAAACATTCTATCATTTTGTGTATAATGCATTTATGTCCATAGGTACTGTATATTGGAATTGTATGACCTGTACTTTGTAATATGATGAATCGAAAGGTCAAATATCCCCTTTTCAGGTCAGTGATAATTTTCAAAATGTTGAATCTACTGATTACGTATATGTGAAATTTATATTACAATTATTAAAGCTTTACATTTATTATTCAAATGATGTCTGAAATTTGAAAATGTGCAGACAATATTTAGCCTCATACAGTATTTTACCCAATAAAAAAAAACTTGTTTTGAAAAATTAAGAAGCCTGAACATAAGTTATAAGTTGAACACTACTTATAATTGGTTGATTGTTAGAATATTGAAATGATGCCTCAAAGTAATGTCTGAAATTTGAAAATGTGCAGGCAATACTTAGCCTCATATTTTACCCAATAAAAAACTTTGTTTAAAAAAATTAAAAAGCATGTTCTAACACCACTTATAATTGGTTGATTGTTAGAATATTATCAAACTGTTGATTTTTTTTGATTTTTTTTTTCTTAAATGAAATTGAATGCTGGTTGGTATGAAGCACACTTATTTTGGGATGAATTTAAGTTTTAGAATTTTTTTAAACAAATTTGATAGAAATAACCTGGCAACAAATTGGCAATGGAATTGTTGATGAATTTCTCAACAACCAATCAAAATGGTTGATAGATAAATGTAGGGTAACTCAAGTTGTTTTTTAATTCTCATAGCATGTGGAATAAATTTAGTTTTCACACACAGTTTTTACAAATTTTTGGTATTTTGTCATAAAGCAAATTTTTCAACCTCAATTATTTAGTACCTGTACTAGGTTTCACAAAGACAAAATTTATATTTATGCAAATATGTTCCTAATAAGGTACATTACTGAGAAAGGGAATGCATACTTTGAACTCTCCTATTTGTCCACTTCATATCAAGTTTGATAAAAACTACTTAAACTTTAAAAACGACAAAGGCAGTTCTCAGATGATTTCAGTACTCTTATAATAAACTTAAAATGAACCATAAAATATAAATAAATTTTAAATAAAAATGTTAAAACCTTTAATATATTTGATAACATATTTTGCTTAAAACAAATAACTAGTTAAAATGGGTAGAAAATGAAAGCAAAAGTGAACAGAATATAAAAGTTTATAGAACTCTTAATGTAAAACTATGTATAATAATTAAAAAAAAAAACCAATTTAAAATTACCTAAGCCAGGGACAAAGAGACTACTTGCATGTCTTCTAAATTAGTTTGATGGAGTGGGGAAGGGGCTATATTGGAGTTAAGAGGGGTGTATTCGATAAGAGGAATGTTATATAAATTATGTGACGAAATATGTTTCATGGAGAAAAATACCCCTTAATTAAACGTTATTTATATTTAAAAAATCAACATATTATCAATAAAAATAGTTAAACATTTGTTTCCAATTAAAGTTTAACTACAATTTGAATTTCACATCTATATGAATAAAATACAAAACCGAAGCAAATTAACGTTTGAGGATAAAACAATCATCAAACATGAATACATATTGCTAAACAATCTACACTTAATTGATTTAAACAACTTTCTACATACAAAAAGTTCATAGTTACTTTGAACCAAATATAATAATTTATAATTTACAAATTTATACAAAAACATCTTGGAATATATAGTGTAAGGTTGTAGCAGATGTCCAGGTAAAGAATAAACTTGGAAACACACACAGCACCAGGAAGAGATGAAAACAGCCTGCAATTAAATAACAAATATTTCATTGTTATTATTAACAGTAATTTTGAATATTGAACACACCCGTATGCAGATTTTTATTGGGTTTGTGCGAATTTGTAAAGAGTGGACCAAAATAGCTCCACAATCTAAATATTTTCTCCCAAATTTTTTTAATTTTGAAAATTGCGGGGGGACGGGACGACTGGGCCTCCTAGAATCCTATCAGTGGCGAATCTAGGAATTTGAAATAGAAGGGTAAGGGAAGGCTTTCACAGATTGAGGGTCTATAACATATCAGCCCAACCATAATTGGGGCTGAGGTGTTATGCTTATAGCACCTCTAGATGGCCAGATGTGACATTCTCAGACCTAAATTTCAATAAAAAATTTCTTTTCTTTTTACAATAATATTGACAAATTTGGGGGGGGGGGAAGGTGTGATTTTTGAATTTTCTACCTTGGAAAATTTGGACTTTTGGTAATTTTTGGGTGGGTCGATGGTGTTTAAATTTAATATTAAACAGTATTGCAACAACAATTATTTCTACTAATAATTTAAACAAATACAAAAATAAACTTGTGAAAACTGGTACTTCACTCAGGTCCCCCAACATGGTGTCAGTGGCTTCACTTTTTTCTGTACAATGATTGGCTTATGAGCAATCCAGCTATTATAGTAGAGATCAGTGGTCTACCAGCAATATTAAAGGGAAACAGTCTTTGGGGGATGATCCATTGTTTAACTTGTGATAATTCTTGCACAATTTCTTACCTATATGTAAATCTGGAATTCCAGGTCATACCAGCGTGCTGGAACCTTTCTTGTGGGCTGGATCATCGATTGCGTCTGCGGTGAGTGTGTTGCCAAGGTTGGCATCCTCTTCTAAGTGACTTCCGTCACTGGATGAACCTGGAGTTGGGCTGGCATGAATTCTGTAGAATTAATTTATAAATGATATCAAGATCTGCCTGCCTATGCTAAATTATGGGAAAAGCCACAATAAATTAGGGAAAAACCTCTAAACCTGAACTGCTCATTATAAAGAATCATATCATTTCCAATAAACATGGATCGCAACAAATCCAATTGTCGTGAACAAGACAACAGTATTTAGGCCTACATTTAAAATTATTAAATTTATTACCAGCCAATTCACAATCTCTACATAAAGAATGTCAGAAATGTATTTAATGTATTTAAATATTCCAGATTTGTTTTCTATTTTCTTAAATTTAATGCATCTGTAAATTGGAAAGAATATTTCCTTAAAGTAATTTTTAATTGAAGGGTAGTAAATTATGTAAGCAATTTAATTTATTTGTATTGTTTTCTCTATTAACTTACAGTAATCTAATTTTATGTTCAGAAAATTGCTTAGTATCAAGCATATGTTTTTCCACTGGACCCAGTGCAATTTAAAATTTCAATTTCTTTATCTTCCCTTTACATATTTGATGTTGCTGTTCTTATTTCTATAGGCTTAATATCATTTATTCAGTCAATTGTATAGTTTTATCATAATGTTTCAATGGATATTGATTTGCACTGTACAAATAAAGATTATTAATATTATTAAAATATTTGTATTTTTTATTAACTTATTTATTTTTTTATGTTTGCAAAATTGTTTAGTATCAAACTAATGTTTATACACTAGGCCCAATATGATTTCTATACTAAGTCTCAAAACTGAGGCTTATGCAGTGGAGCTTAAATCCTGGTTTTTCAGATGATTTGGTTGGAAGGCAAGCATCTTAACCACCAAGCCTTAGAAGTTTTTAGCCCCAAATAATTTAGACAGTATTCCTTGATACCTTTTAGTAATTTCAAGCAGGAAAATATATGAAAAGCCTCAAACATTATTTGTTTGCATATAAAAGTGCGTATTTAGAATCAATGTCTTTTTTTATTTCCCATTCATTGTACAATAGGAATAAATTATATTAGTTATTATTTCAAAAAAACTGTACACAGTCTTGCAACAAATTTAAGATGGGCAGATATTATCCCTTTTAGCTATTCTAAAGACGTAGCATTGCATATAACTAGAATAATGACAATGATTAATTAGTAATTAATTTATCAAAACGTTATGCTGAAATGAAAGCAACTACAAACTATTACTTTTAATAAATTTACTGATAAAAATGAGATTAACAATAAAAATATTAATTATATAAATTGATTTACTTTATATTTACACATCAAGCCAAAATACCCAACCCAAAATATTAACATATTTTGAATAATAAATTAAATAAATATGAAAATTCTATTAGAATCTGAAAAATTATCCCGTAACATATATTGTCTTGTGATGCAACATACTACTATATCCCAACACCATTGACCATATATATATATAATGTGTATAGTTATATAATAGCATTAAATATAAATGAAAGCAGCCCCATGATAAGTGAGTCGAGATCTTACATGGCTGGCTCTGACGTCATGCTGCCCTCATGCTCTGCGTCAGCTCCACTATCTTTATCTTCTACATTGGTGAATGAATTAAGGCTAGAGTGAATAAACAACAGCAAAACAAACCAACATAAAGTGTACAGCGATGACAATGGGTTGACAGGGTTAATGCGACCAAAGAGAAGAGTAGGCAATGGGTGGCAAGTGCTTAGCAGTGAGTCTCAATCTAGGCACACACTGCGCGGACGTAGGCAGTCGATACATAATTTCTGCTTTGTGAGCGCTTGATGTCGCAACGCTGTCTGCCTATTCTTAGTGGCAGCCTGAACGCATCATCATTAAAAGTGATCCGCTATGAGTGCATCATTGCTTTGCGTTCTTTATGGAATCGCATCAAACGACACCCGTGCAGTGTGTGCCTCGTTTTATACGCCCACAGATTTATTAAAAGTTAAATTAGTATATTGGAGTTAACAATAGATTCATGATGTTAAAGAAATGTTATAAAGGAAAGATCTGGTTAATTTTATGATAGAAAAAACATTAAAAAGAGGAAACGTTTATTTAAAAAATTTAATCTTTGAGATAGTGATAAAATTTTGAATTAAAAAAATAATTTATTTATATCAATGGACATAATTTTATGCTTATCTGTTTTGAAAATATATTTATCAATAATTAATCAATTTATTGCATTTTATTTATTGCATTAATTTTTTTTCCAAAATTAAATAATAATCTAATAATTGACTCTTAGACAAGGAAATTAAGTATGAAACAAAATATAAAGCAAAAACGCAACATAAACACACCAACATAAAGAAACAAAAAATGACATATCCAACACAAAACAGATAAAAACCACCAAGTCAAAAAACTTAGCATTTGAACCAAAAAAAAAATTGTGGTAAGGTCCACTTATGTACAGTATACTGATTTTAACAGCAGCGAAAGTCTGTTCACAGACCTTTGCTGTATATGACAAATATCTATGGTGTGCCTATATATGGGCATGGTAATGTCACATCCACACTCATACATGCGCAACTTAAGCTCCGTCTACACAAATCAAATTTATTTTTGTGACAAATGTATGTGATGTGGCTATATTATAGGTATGATGATGTCACATTACACCCAAATCACATTTTTTGTCACATAAAATTTCATAGTGTGGAAGACTTAAATTGCACATGTATGGGTGTGGATATGGCATCCATGCCAATATATGGCCAAACCATAGATATTTGTAAACATAAAATTTTGTAGTGTGGACAAATCTTTAGTAATACATATTCATACCACAAATTTATTTGCTCAAATTATAAGTTTCTTGTAAATTAAAATGAATTAAAATAGAAAATAAAAACCTGAAGAACAAAGAAAAATCATATTGAACTAATAATAATCAGTAATATAATATTACAAAGATTAAAAATATTATGTTATTTTATTTTCATCAAAAGGAATGTTTATGTTGTGTAAATACAATGATAAAAATAGATTCTCTTTTTAAAAATGCAGTATTTTTATCATTTCTTATATAATAAAATTACTTTTTTATTTGTATATTTAAATCAAAGGAGCAAGTTGTTATAATAACTTTCAGCGCAAGTTATTTGTAATGAAGCAAATTGCCAAAATAAAGTTGTGCATAAATCATAACAATAAAATTGCCTAATATTTGAATAAGACTTTTTATGTAATTAAAATTCCGCTAAAAATAATAAATTGCATATAATATAAATAATAATGGAACCATAACCAATAATCTAATTATATAAATGAAGAAAACTATAAATAATCCCGAAAAATAGTATATAAGTTTGAGTATATAATTCTAAATATTATGAAGCAATAAGTAAGTGTTGGTTTGTGAGAAACTATCCTATTTGTCTGTCAGACCTACAGAAATATTTGATCAAACTTTTCTGATAGTGTATAATTACTCCAAACATCTGATCAAACAAATAATGTCTTAATGTTTATTTTCCTGAAAAGACATTGTTCAGTCTGACAGATAAAATTAGATAGTGTTTTTCTACATTTGAGAAATATTGGCAGCATGAACAATAAAATTTACCTGCTAGAACTGGATGATGACTTGCGAGGGACTGCTGTATCCGGTGCTACTGGTTCGCAGGTCATGCGTGCAACCGGTTGGTACATAGTTTTGCTAACAACTAAATTTGAGCTGTATGTGGTTGTAGGGCGCACGATCATGGTAGTGGCAGTTTTGAACTCGGCAGGCTGCGGTTCAGGTATTGAGGGTTGAACATTGTCGACTGATATTGTACGATGCGATTGCACGTAAACCGGGTCTGCTGACATAGGTTCTGGTTGATAAGCACCGTAATCATTCGGTGTTTGGTAATCATGCGCGTACTCATTTCTCGGTGCGTATTCATTTCGTAACCTTGGATCCTTATTCATATATTGATCTTGCTGGTACTGATGGTGCATATAATTTCCTTGTCTATCACCATATGACACTGTTGGTTCAAGGTACTCTCTTGAATGGTCGCTATAATTTGAGGACCGGTCGCTAAAGTAATCCTCGTGACTATTTTGTCTCTGATAATGGTACGCATAAGCAGCACGTACATCGTAGCTAGATCCCTTGTAGTGACTGTTTTCGCCATTTTCATTGTGGTAATACTGTGGATTATCATGACGTGGTTCGTGATAGTACGTATTAGAATAAGAATGATGGACACCATTTTGGTAATGGTCATATTGGTTGTCTTTATAATCAAGTCGTGGGTCATGATGCCAAGCATCGCGTCCACCCTGATACTGCTGGCTCGGGGAAGGATACCGTCCAGAATGGGGACTATTGCGAGGATTACCACCTCTGTATTGTTCACCAGCATAATAGTCTCCATGTCCATGTCTTGGATGATTGTCGCGCACATGATTCCGTTGATATTGCTGATGCTCCCGATGTTGGTAGTTTTTATCTTCCCTATTTGTATAACCCCCTCTATAGGGGGCAGTCCTGTCGCCACTACCTGTAGAATACTGATCATCGGATGAATAAGCAACACTTCCTTCCCGTGATTCATAAACACGTCGCGAAAGGTCATCATGGTCATACCGTGGTTGACGTGGGCGGCTTTTTTGAACCCGATAGTCTTTACGAGGAGGAGTATTATGCATATATTGATCGGTCTCATCAGCTAAGCGTTCTGGAGGTAAATTCTCTGAACGCAAATTGCCTACAGAGCCATGCTTTTTGGGAGATTGAGTTTGTACTGTAGAAATAGGTTGATCGTAACTAATACCATCGTCACTGTAATTGTATTCAACTTTTTGAGTCTGTGTCGGAAGGTTAAACATTGACGATGCATGTTGACGTATACGAGGTTGTTCATCCTCCGAACTATAATGAATATTAGATTGACTATAGTCAATACCAGAGATTTTCTGTCGTGGTAATGAGCTGTAATTATGATGCTGAGAATGCGAATCATACGGGATGCTTTGTTTACGTGACGATGTGTCACTAAAGTCCGAGTTCGAGCTAGAACTACCTCTGAATGAACTACTTTGCCGCAAAACTGGTCTTGCATTGGAATTTGGTGAAGATGGAATGTACGGATTGACCATGGTTTTTGATCTCGGTTTAGGATTGGAATCGCTGCGTTGACGAGGTGGTCCAATTTCCGCGTAATCTGGATTCACCTTAAATTTACCTCGATCTGTGGTTGGTTTTTGTGGTGGTAAACCATGCGTACTACGTGGAACTCTACCTAATGTTTGAGAAGAATACTGCTCCTGTTTCATAAAGTCCTCATCTTCAAACTCGATATCGCCGGGTGTAGATTCTCTGGGTAGTGAATTGTCCCGTTTCCTTGATCTTAGCGGTGACGGCAGCGTCAGACCACCGTTTAAATGAGGTCGTGGCACTGATTTAGATCTGGCGCGCACTCCTTTACTTTCAGTTGTTTTGGCACGCCCTCTTTCGGACTCGCCTTTTGTTTTCAATCCTTTAACATTGAATGTCCTTGAAACAGGCGGAGTCTTGGGTTTGCTAGGTCGTGGCAAGGTATCATAACCACTTTTCACTACTTGCGGTGTAATGGGTTCCAATCCATGTTCCAACCTGATTTCATTTAGTTTTTCGCCTATTTCCTCTAACTGTATAGTAAAGATAAAATCAATGTGAAAGTTACATACCAACATAGAGTTTAAAGGTACAACAAACCACTGTATATTTGCAGTAATAAAAATAATATTTAGTTCCACTATAATACTTTTGGAACTAACAGAAGCCTCTATATTTGGAAACAGCTGTTTCAAGCTGAAGAAAACAAAGCAAATGGTGGTACTTAAAATGTTTCTGATTTCCAACACCTCCCAAACTATTATTTTTATTTGGTTATTTACTGTATATTATTGGGCAGTATCATTTTATCTTCTAAAATAAACTGAGCAAACTTTTACAATGAATAATGACAAATTTTATCGAACTTGTCTTGTCTTGCTAGCATTTTTATTTTAATTAATAATATTAGAAATAAATATTAGCATCTTGAATACTACAGATCTGTTATGTGTTATATAGAGCTACTATGTAGACTAATATCATGCTTTATACTGTAAAGCAGCACTACATATGGTGATATCATTTTTAGTGCTACATAGCTTATTGTCAACATTTTAGAGCTGCTTTGTAATATCTTTTTTGCTACATTTTGTAGCACTACTACTTTGTAGGCTAATACCTTAGTGGTACCATTTGTAATGCTACATACATTATTGCATACTTCTAGAGCTGATCTATAACCTATTATGTTATTGTTATAATTTGTAGCGCCTAATAACTCGCTTTCTATACCGAGCTACTGGGTAGACCACAGCAATATCATATTGTCACTATTTGTAGCATTGTAACACCAATACATTACTGTGTACCACTTGTAGTGCTACATTGTCTAGTTGCATACCTTTCGTAGTGCTAGTTTGTAGTTTTCTCTGCGAGTCTTGCGAGACTTTTTAGTGATGGTTGGGTCCATTGATAATCGTAGAGCTGCCTTACATATATTACTCTGAATCTCATACTCTTTTTCAAATTGTGCAAGTTCTTTACTAAAATCCTCCTACATTGAAAAGAATACAGTAAACACATAAAATTAGCAAAAAGAAAAAAAATTAAAAAATATTAGCAAAAGAAAAAATGCAAAAAAAAATAATCAATAAATAAAAACAAAAGAATTTAGAGACAGTGGTTGTCAACTGCACTATGCTACCTTTTGTTTTGCATATATCTTACATTCTGTAAGAAGTTTTAAAAAACAAAAACAAATTGTGCAGATCAAATGCTTTTATTAAGCCTGCAAACAATTTGGCAAACAGGTAAAAAATTGTAAACTTTCTTGAAGTGAAATTAATTAAAATATAAATCTATAAGATCATATTAGAATATACAGAGGTTAGAATAAATGCCATTAAGATCTGAATATGTTGTGGATGAATACAAACCTCTGTACTGCCGTTCATCAATTTTTCAGATAACGTGAATGCGGTTCCAACTCGTTTCCTAATAACTGGCAACGGTTCCCCTGGTTCCTTGGGATAGTCCGGTGGTAAAACTCCTAAAATCTCCTATAATAAACCATAATATTTATATTTTATTAGACAGAGAAATGAATATCACAATTATTTTATATATTTAATAGGATTTATATAGCGCACAAATCCAGATAACTGCTTAAGGCACTTTTTCCCTGGTTATAGGATACGGAAGCAATCATACACAAAACTAATACGAAACCTGGTTGCAAATTAAAATATACTTTACTTTATCATTAAGAGTATTGTGTAGAATCCATCTAAAATGACCTCATAGGATAAATTTTAGAGCTAAATTAAACATTTCGATATGGCTTCACGGTCATAGCTATCCTGTATCACCATGTGCTTGAAAACCTACCATGAACATAAGAGTGATGTTTTCCCTATCTGATGCATTTTCATACTGACTACTCTACGTTTCCAAGTACTTGCGAAAAAAAGAAAATGATTTTGCAATTGATTCAGGTGGGTATCGTACCCACAATCTCCAGATAACTAGGCTGGTGTCATAACCACTAGACCGTTCAGCTAATGATTAGTGACTAGTGTTGAATCTGATCCTCAAGTAGCAGCAGATACTGATAAACTGACAACACATCAGGTTGGGTAAAACATCACTCCTGCAGCATTGCACAACAGTAACATATTGTCAAAATATATTTGACAGCTTAACATGTTCACTGCCAGCTATGAGCATACTAGTCCCACAGGGTGCTGCTGAGGGCGCCAGGGACGACTATACTCGTTGAAACCGGGGAAACATTCTAGCTTTTAACGGCTTAAGACTTAACGGCTGATATTTCAGGGAAGATACACCTAGACGAAAACGTACCGGCAGAACACTCAATTGCACGAGTGGGGTCGCCCTCTGAACATATACCAACCCGGGCAAAAAGCGGACGAGAAAACTCACACTTGGTAGAGGCAATATAAAAGTACAGTACGAGTTTACTCGTACCCCTTAGACTTCCCCACTAATTTATTAAACACACCATTTTGATGATATATGAGGCAGGTTGTGGCAAAATGGCTAAGTTGTAGCAAAAATTTAAATTCTAGTTATTGGTATTTTCAGATACCTGAGTATGTGATCTTTAAAATGAGGGGTCATACATTCAAATTGAACATTTCAAGCCTAAGTTACTGGAAAGTGAAAGTACAGCACTCTTAGAGTCAAGATAAACATGATTTTGAGTAATTGCCTTTCAAAAGTTATTTGTGCATACATTGTTTAATAGAATTACCTATCTAAATAACATTAAATAAATGATTTGTTGACTACTTCCAGCACTAATACTTTGGGAGATGATTAATAAGACATTAAATTGTTGATCTATAGTGAAAAAAAAAAATTGATTTTTAGGCAATTTTTTGAGCTCCCGTATTTTATAGCTCATTTACTCAATACTGGCCTGTGCGACAACTTAACCATTTTCCCACGACATGCCTCATATGACTAAAAGTATGTTTGTATATTTATACTTGTTTTGGCACATATTAAGGAACCTAAGAAAAGATCTGGCAGTCAAACTGTTAACCTTCACTCTGATCTACAAGATCTTTTCACTGTGTAACAAAGACCGGTAGCAAATTTCAAGCTAAGAAATCCTTATACAGTACTTACAGCTTCTTTTAAGCACATCTTTTTGAACTCTTCTTGCTTTGATTTGAGATGCTCTTCTAGGGCTGCTTTCCTTGCTTTGAGGGCGGCTACTAAATCCTCTTCAGCCTTTGCACTCATCGCTGCCATGTCTGCATTTACTACAAGGGAAAGAAGATGTTAACAAATGTTATTAGGTAACACAACTACTGTGTTAGGATGCAATATTCAACTCGCACTTTGGTCGTATTCAGGAACACTTATTATATTATAAACTAAGTTGTGTGTGCAGGTTGAAGTACCATCATAAAGTTTCTCAGATACTTGTTACTTCTCGGGAATTTTTGACACAATGCAAACTTTTTTTTTTTAAAGAATCTTCACGTCTCAAGCAGCTCAAACTATACAACGTTGTAACTTGAATTGATTTTAAGAGTTTTTAATCTAACAAATTTTAATCCCTACCTCGGACTTTTTAGATGGTATGTTGTTGGGTTTAAGTCTTAAAATTAAATCACTATTCCACCAACACAAATAAATTTTCATGAACACTTTAACTTATTATAAGTCATTACTGTCCTGCCTAGGTCTATATGTGCAAGATTCTGATTTGAAGGCTTGCCTAAAAAAAACATTCCTGTAGGTTATTTCCATGGCAAGAGGAAATGAGATGTTCTGATAAGATATATCAAATGAAATTAATTGCCTTCTCAATGTATGCACTGAATATCACATTGCAAACAGATATAGCACCTTACTAGCTAGTATCACTCAATATTAAGTACTATCTGATAGAAAGATCTAGAAAGAATCATATCGATACCTAGGGGTATATTATTGAAAGGAAAAGCAATTAATACTTGTGTCTGTTTTGTATGTTCTTGAAATTGTAAAAACTTGATACAAGGAAATAAAGTTCTCTGAGAACAGGGTTCACATTTGCAAAAGACACTCCCAAATTAAAAATAATCAACATTATTTCTATGTATGTTAAGCTTTTCAAAAATCTGTTCAAACATTGTGCCATCAGCAACAAACAAGTAAAAAGTAAGAATCCTTTGAAAAAGTTAAAAAACTTACGTGGATTTCCCTTTAATTGATCCTTATGCATTGTCAAGCTGTTTGTACTACTACTAGTTTCGCTTATATCTGAATTTTGCGATGTTATAGAGGGCGTGCTTTGTGTTAAATCAGTAGCTATCTGACTAAAACTTTTAGACATTGGATGCTGCATCTGAAAATGAAATGTAAAAATGTTGATTTGAAATTCAAAATTTCAGTGATAAGCATGGTTAATATTATGCATAAATTATAGTTAAACTTGTCTGACATTTTAGAAAGACAAATTGATTTGTTTCTTAAGCTGGACAAGATTATAAAATTTTAATCTGTTTGACTCAACAAAATCTTATATACCTAGTTCTACACATCTGATCAAACACATTGTGTGTTGAGAGTTGGAAGTTAGACATGTCTTTTGTCCGACAGACAAAACGTAATAGTGTTAGCAGTACCTGCTGCTACTCGGGGATCGGGTTCACCATTAGCCTCTAAGCGCAAACCCGGTGGTCTAGTGGTTAAGACACCAGGCTAGATATCTGGAGGTCGTATGTTCGATTCACACCTTAATCACTTGCAAGATTTTTTTGCAAGTATTTGAGAATGTACTAAGCATTCAGTACAATAACATGTACAATAACAGGTAGGAAAAAAAAAATCATTCTTATTACTAATCAGACGCCAACACCACCGGTAGTAGTATATGTACATTTAGTAATCTTTTTCTTATTTTTTTGGAAGTGCATAATTAACTAATTAAAATAAACAGACTTCTACGTCTACAGCAAAAAATAATTCCAACATCAGACTACTTAGACACAATTTAAAGAAAATTTATTGCTGACGGAATTGGAAACGTTATAGAATGTAGTACAGTAAATGCTTGCATAAATCAAACTTAGCAAAGTTCAACGTACAGGTGATCAGCACAACGAAATGTGATGAATATATAACTGGCGTCTACAACTTCAAGACAACTTCAAGAGATAGATATTTAACAATACTCAAGACTCCTCGTCAATTAATATAAATATGTGCACTGTATAATTAAACAGTGAGGAACACTATAACAATATAGCAAGGAAGTCAAATAGATTGGATCATTCAATATGTTGGCGACAAGAAAAATGATGTATCGATTCTGAAAGTTCCGAGAAATAATGACTTTATGAAACAGGTTACTGGCACAAGATTGTAATCTTTAAATCTGTGAGCAAATTTTCTATGAAATATACATTCAAAATACATAAATTATTTTAAAAAAAATTTAATTTTAATCTTAAAATGAAGTATGGAACCAAAGGAACTCATTGGCTCTCAGTTCAATAAATTCTTTAACTTTGCATTCCTTCAAAATTTGATTTAATAAAAAACTTGTTCTTCTTGCTTCTTGCGTTTACCAATTTTCATTGGTTTGTGTATATAATTTCTAAAATTACAGTTCTAAATACTCATTACAATATTAATTTTATACTCAAGAAGTATACAACCAGTACAAATGATTTTTATTAGCAATATAATTGTATCGCTGTACGTGATATTACTCTGAATCATTCAATAACGACCGTAGCTTTTGTGCTCAGACAAGGAGCTCATTATTATTTACTCAAATGAGTACATCACTTCTAATTATTCTTTTGATATACTTCATATAAATAGAGTTACAACATCTTCTGTATACAAATGTTTCAATTATACCTCTAATCCATTCTTACGAATGGTATCAAACAGGCCAATTTACATGAATATTGATGTGTATCTACCAAGCCTAGCCAACCTGACATTAATCAACGATTTTGTTTTATTGGAATTACAGTATTATCGTATCCTGTTAAAAATTCCGGCTACCTACAACAGGAAGGATACATCCACAATGGAATCAAAGGGCATGACAATGGCAAACAATTCCTTTGTTATGTAGTTATGTACAATCACATTTCATTATCGACCCATTACCACAAAACTTTTGTAATTTTGATCCTTTTTCCATTCGGAATTACGGTATTTAACAACTAGTTGTCTCGGATGATTAGGCAATGTAGCAATCACTAGGGTGACATAATAAAGGTAGTATAGCCACCATACCATGGATAGCATTGAAGGTATTTCCACCAAGGTTTACCCACTAGGTATTTCCCCTCCCCACACATATCTAGTTCATACAAGAAAACACTCACTACAAGGTGGACATTCTTGCCCTGGAAAATGTCCAAAATAAGGCAACTTAAAGCTTGTACCTAAACTCAAGAGATCTACTTCAAAGGAAAGACTGAGACATCTTCATCTGCCATCTCATGAAGAAAGAAGAGATATAAGTAAAGTTTTCAACTCATCCATGAAATCGGAAACATTGATTACTATCGTTTCTTTATCATCATCCATAATACAGAAGCCATAATGCACATGAACACCATTTCAAGCTCCTTACCCCATGAGAAAAACACTGTATGGACTCCTACTTTGATTCTCGAGTGATTAAGAACCTGGAACAATCTACCTTCCCCCAGTAACTTGCAAACAACTTAATTATTTCAAAGTTGCCTAGGACTGATACATTGAGGGAAGGCAGTTTCCACAAGTATTAACTCATAGCCTCCTTCAACACTAAGGTACAGTAAGCATTACTAAGGTAAGCACTGTCCTTATGGATTAACAAATGCACTGTTTGATATCAATTTTAAAACTTTGAAAATCATTGAAAACCCTTAAAGATTCAACATTTTTTTTTATATTCAATTTTAATTGCTCAACATGACAGGTATTACTGTTTTTTATTTTTTTAATTTATATAAAAAGAATTTATTTGGATTGAAATGATGACAATCTCATTTCTCTACCTTGCTATGTTTTCGATCTAAGTAGAACTGATGTTGGTTTATGGCCATACTCCAAATGGACTTGATCAACGCTGCTGTTCCATACCACGCGTGCACAATCACATTGCTCGAACTAAATGGTCGTTTCGTTACCGGTCCCCTGTAAAGATAAAAGAGAATGTTAGAAAAAAAAAAAAAACAAGTCAATCCTTCTTAAAAATTTTAACTGCCAAGCCTCATGTATAAAACTTTCATTTTCTCTGAACACATATGAAGGAAGGGAAGAAAGGTTTATACACTACAGTATGTTTCAAAGCAATACAATTTATTTTTTTGAAATCATAAATAAATGTTTGAAAACAATGCACAATGTATATCATTATACTGTAGGTTAGAATTTTTTTGGATAAAGAAAATAAAAATTAAGAAATATGATTTTTACAAATGTATTTAATTCTTATATAAGTCAGCAATTGACTGCACACTAACACTACAGGGTGGAATGTAAACTGTGATCTCTATATATCGAAGTCTAAATGTGAGGTTTAGAAAGTGTGGTGGTTTTTCCTTCAGAAAAAAATGATCTTTTCACAGCAAGATTCGAACCTAGAGTTCTGAGATCGGAAGGCAAGCACTTAGCCTTGTGACCACCAAGCTACAGTACAACTTTATTCTTGAAATCTAGAACTATAAACCAATATTTATTTATTTATTTATTTTTTTTTTTTGCAGAATGAACTTCTCACTTGTGTTTAACTTTTAGTAACTACAGGTCTCCCTAAAATTAAAGACTGCCTTTTTTTTGGTCTCTAATTATAATAATAAAGATATAAAGACATTTGTGAATTTAAGACAACAGAAAAGTTTGAGGTGGTCTTTAATTAAAGGTAGACCTGTATAAATTGGTGCATAGTTTTAGAGCTATATTATTATCTAATTGCATAATATATACTAATTATTTGTATGAACAGAAATGTGGTATATTTTAAATTGTGCTTAAAATCGGAAGGTAATGGTGTAGTTGGATACTGCCAGTCAAAGTAATGAAACAGAAATAAAATATTTTAAAATGAGCTTTGGTGTGCAATGTTTGTGCTAAAAATAATGCTAACCTCTTATGAAAACCTTCCCAACATGCAACAAATTTTTACGCAAGTTTATTTAGAAAAAAAAAATCACAATAGCTTTCACACGCTTCACAAAATCTTTAAAGACTGCGCTGTAGTTACCCTGTATGAGGCCAATCTCAGCATCACAGGTAAAAGTGCTATGTTCATTTACCTCTAATTTCACTAGTCATTTTCCAGGTAGCAGAAAATTAACGTTTTTTTTTTTTTAATTCTTACACAGGGCCTTTTCTGGCTACAAGGATAGAAGTGGGCAGTTTTTGGTGATGCCTACCTGGACTTTCTATAGGGGAGAGGAGAGCTACAGTATTAAATCAACAATTTTGAGTAAAAATCAGACTGTAAAAAAAATGTGCAAAATAAATATAAATGTAATGAATTGCCATACCTATGGAGAAAGAGTTGACATTAAAATAGATTATGGACAACAGCTTGTTCTTTGAGTGCCTAGTATACTACTAAACTATGTGTTCACATAATCTATTCATAGGTAAATTATTATAGCTACAGTACACACATTAAAATTAGCCATATCTAGCTCTCTTATCTCACAATTGCACATTAAACTAATTAAAGCCAAATATTATGGAGCAGTTCAACTAGAAGAAATTAATTGTGGCTAACTTGATTATACTAGTAATTCCTCCACAATTCAAAAGGGTCATCAATTTCTTATCAATTTAATGAGAGTACAGAATATGCATTTTAATAATAATAACAGAAAAATAACCTCAAAATGAGAACAAAATAATCATTCTAATGTGCACTTTTTCAGGATGATGTTTATCAAACTGTAAATGATAAAAAAAAAAACAATTACGTTTCCGAGTACAAACAACTAAAAACAAAGCATAACTGCAAGAGTGATAAACCTATTGGCAAGTTTACAACATTGACAAAAATTTATTACTGTATTATGTTATATTGATTTCACTGATGCATATTTATTACATAGTAGAGCATGACCCAATTATACCATTAACTTTGTTCTTTTTTGTACAAACAATAATTTTTTAGGAAGGGAAGGCATGACAACAAAATTTGGAAACAAGAATAGTGTGCAGTGTAGTCAATGTTTCTAACAAACTACTAAAAATATATTTGATCATTAAATAGTATATTAGATTTTAGCTATGCAATATTAAGAGGAAGTGGCTTGTTATTCTTTGTTGAACCATGAATTTCCTCACTTCCCTAGTAGATATTTTCTATCAAGGTACTACTTTTAAATACTGTATACTGTTTATAAGTTATTAAGGTATCACGCTGTTATTTGGTCTTGAGTACAGCATAGTTCATGTTAGCCGCTGCAATGGTAGCATTACAGTAATAGCAAAAGCCACAGTAACAGAATTACTAGTAGCGGCATTACAATAATAGCTACAGATATAGCGTCGCAGCAGATGTAACATTTGTAGCGGTAGTGTTATAATAATAGAAATAGCTGCAGATGTAGCAGTTTACAGTAGCAGCATTCTTAAGGTAAACGCAAAGAGCTGTCGCAACTGCAGCATTGCGGTAATGGCAATAGCTGCAGCAGATGTAGTATTATGCAGTAGGAACAACCGTAGAATTATGGTAATTATAGCAGATGCTGCAGCAATACGGTAAAACTTGTAGCAATACCAACAGCAGTATCAGCACTACAGCAATAGCAATTTGTAGCATCAGCAGCTGCAGCACAGCAGCATTACAGTAGTGCAAGTTACGCAGCTGCTGCAGCAGGAGCAACATTATGGAAATAACAATAACCAGCTGCAGTAATTTACAGTCACAGGTCAGTAATGGCATGGTAGGCTGGTACCATCATTAGTGCCCTAGTCCTACCAGATTGAAGATGTTTAGTAAAAGGTGTAAAATTTTTAGTAATACAATAAAACACTAATACAATCAAAATCACTGATGTTCACTACTGTACTTCAAAACTACAACAAAACTATAAATGTTAAACCTCTATTTAAAAAAAAATCAATCTATATTAAATTCTATATATATAAAATCTATAAAATTAGGAATATATTAATGTCAATATATAATTAATAGATTAATACAAATTTACATGTGCTTGAATAAAAACTAAACCAATTTAGTGGAAAAGACTGCAGCTACATGAAAACATGCATTTTAAATATACTTTTATAAAAAATATTATTTAATTAAATATATAAAGCTGTGAAAGAAATTAAATGCTTTTCATGCAACTTACAACTGCTACACAACTGTAATAATTCAGTAAAATAAAATTTTAAAAAAAAGAAAACAATTATGAAATAAACTGCCATATTGATTGGTTAACTCGTGAAGATTATTATTGGTGACAACATGCATGGCTGAATAGGCTGCACGGAGACTAACTTACTGAACGAAGTCAGAATTAGTTTCTGACGAATCTTCAACACTATCAGGCGTGTCCTGCAGTGGTTGTTCGTACAATAAGTGACTCGCCGAACTTTGAGAACCTCTGAGAAAAATGGATGGTTGTGTTTCATAAACAAAATTGGGATAAACCTGAGTGTATTACCTGGCAACTTATTTACAAAAAAGGATTTTGGAAAATAGGAAAAAAATGCTGTTATATCGATTTAGTATTATCGTTTCGCAAGTGTTAAATAATTCCTTGTTATTTTAAGTCTGAACATTCCGTTGCATACAGTACATACTATACGAGCCAATAAAACAATGTTAATATATTAAAATCGATCTCACAATAAATGAAATTTGTATGGTAGCAGAGGAAAAAATGCCATAAAACTATGCTACTTCATAACCCTGAAATTTCTCTATTTTCATACAAAAAAAATTATTATTGTTATCGATGTAAAAATTCAATCTCTATAGACATATAACTCGTATTTAGCTCATAAAATTCAGAATATATTTCACAAACGAGTTTTCTCTACGTATTGGTCGTCATTATAAACGTTTCTTGTAGACTTCAAGTCTATGTTATACAGATAAAATCACTACAAATGCTGACATTATGTTTAAGATCATTGCAAACACTCACCTTTTAGGATCGTTCACTTCGATTGAAAACTTTTTTTCCTTGAAGTAAATATTTTGCAACTGCCGCCAAGGGAATACCTAGAAAATTAAAAGTCAGTTGGTAACTGCGATTTCTACATTTATTAAGGAGTTACGGATGTGTTATTTCTCGTGAAAAGAATGCTTAAATATCCAGTACAGCAAGTGAGGTTTCTATGGGCAGACGTTCGGAGCTTTCGATTGCACGATGGCTGTAAAATCAAGGACGTAACAACGTCACATAAAGTTATATGAGCATGTGACAACGTTGAGTTTTTATTTTCGTGTGAATTTTAGGATAAAGTTTCGCTCAAATCTATGTTGCAGGTTGTCTAGCGTCCTATCGTCGCATAAAACAAAAGCTCTAATATTGTTTCAGTTTCCCAACATTCAACCTTCAGAGATTAAAACAACTAACAACATACAGTACAGTATGGCAAGGTTAATATTAAATTATGAAATTGGGGGGAAACCCAGAAAAACTTAAGGTATCTTTCAACCACTGATCCTATTTGGTTTATTAGAAAAAAAAATATTATTGAGAGAATAGCTTGCTTAAAATCAATTGAAAACAAGCCATAAATTATAAGAAATTGATGTTGCTGTGAATTTTAAAGGGCAAAAATATTTTCTAAATCTATGATTTCCGGGATGAAACCAGAGCACTGTATATAAAAACTATGAGAATAAAGCAAGCATTTTGAATTTTGAGGAGAGGAATCAACAGCTTAAGGTGAATCATAGGCTACATAAAGTATAAGATATTTTCCAGCTGAATTTAGCAGTAATTTACAGTACATCTTAACATTTTCGCCTCAACAACACCGTTATTCATACATTAGAAATAGGAGTGTTCATTTTATTGTAGGAATGATACCTCAACACTTCCACTGATCTTTGTAATTTTTGCCTTATCCTACTTTATAGTAATAAGTCACCAAGTTCACATTCATATTATGTATAATCATTCTTCTTTGATGTTGAAACATTTGGAACCTGAAAATTTGGGATGTCTCAGGGTTTGGTCTTTAAATAAAAGGTTCGGTCTTTATGTTCTTCTGTTATTTGGGTATCTTCAATTGAAGGGTGCACTATTAACAAACTTTCTTTTAAGGGTTTAAATTTTCAAAAAACTCTAAGATAACAAAGCATTTAATTGCTTGACATAGAGTAATGCATTAATCTAACCTTGATATAATAATTCCCACAATACAATGCAACTATTGCGTATTACAAAATTGTCCATAGTGAACTGAACGTTGACATTACCTTTCTTGGAGTGACTTTATCTAAACGGTCGTACTGTCCAATTCCTTTAAAACTCAATCCTAACAACCAAGGTATCCCTGCTTTATCCTTAACTTCATAGTAATGTATTCCATAGGTTGGTAAACTTTCTATTAATTGCATATAACTGGAAGATATAAAGAAATGATTAAAGTTAGTATGAACATCTCATCACTCGCTTATTGATATTTATCTGGTTATTAATAGATATAAAACGTATAAATATTGTATAATTATAAATAAAATTTTGTTATCAAAAAACCACATATTATAATAATAAAGTTGAATATTACATAAAATAAATTGAAATCATTCAACCAAAATATATACAGCAGGACATTAGTTACTGTCATAAATAATCATAATTATTAAGCAGACCTACATATTGAATTTGATATGACATTGTAATACATCATAAAGAGAACAAAAAATCAAATTATTGCTAATTTTAATTTCAAAATAAAACTAAAATCATTCAATAAAAATATATAGGACACTACAAATACACCTCCTGTCAAAGTGAAAAATATAATATACAAAGTTGAGTGTTATAATTCAATACACCATATAGTGATTGAGGAGCAAAATTGAATAGTACTGTAAATATTTCAATCTCTACAAAATAATATGATATAAACTATTCTGTACCTACTTTATGAATTCATATGGAAAAAATCCAGTACAAATAATGGAAAAATCCAGTACAAATGATAGAATAATTCCGCTAGTTATTAATTCCCTGCCTGAACACAAACTACCATATGATTATGAGATAAAAATGATAAAGGTTAGTTTTATACCACCAGCAAGTTTTGGTTTTAATTAGCTTGTTTCTATTCTCTATTGTTTTAAATGGTTTTGTATGCAGTATAGAAAAACATAATACCCTTGTTGTTTGTAGACACAATATAGCAACGATGTCAATAAAAATATCCAGGTATAAAAAGACAATGTTGAACTGGAATTTGAATTTGGATACCAAGTACTGGCAACAATGTGTAACAGTTTTGCCATTGTTTATTTGCCTTTACCATTATACTTTCAATTGTCAGATTGAGGTAAAATGTCATCTGTGTTTGAGTCATAAAGAATAGATTTTTATGGATTACCCTTACTACAGTAGTATGCATACTTGTATATCCACATACAATTATGCAAGTCTGAAAATACTGCAGTACAGTATAACTTCCATTATAGGAACAACTGTATCTCCCCTAAGATTTGGTTGTGTGTTGAAAGATAGTTTCTCCAATTCATACCTAAAAATGTTCCCCCTTATTAGATGGTGTCCCCTTAATTACTATAGGGGTGGTGTCTGAATGGGGGTCTGCACTGTAAAATGAAATACTGGTCGCCAGTTTTTAAAATATTCAAAAAATCTGTATCTTATATTGTAGCCATTTGGATTTTTTTAAAGCTCCTTATAAAATTCATTTCAACAACATATAAAAAATGTAGTGTGGCTATAAATTAAATGCCAACCAAAGAATCTACAGCATGCAAAATTTATAGAAAAAAAATTTACTATTTATGATCCTGATGTTTATAGTATTTAATGACAAGGAAATATATTCTCAAATCTGATTTTCAATAAAACTAATACTGTAACTTACGGTACCGGTATAGTATAAACTACAGTAACTGATCATTTTACAAACTGAATAATATACTGTACAAGGCTCTGTCCAGAGTGTGTTACTTCAGTGCAAGTTGCGAGTTGGAAAATGCGAGTTAGGAGGACCGCAACGTGCATTTCCAACTCGCAACTCGCATATTCTAATTCGCAACTCGCACTTTCCAACTTGCATATTCCAACTCGCAACTTGTATTTTCCAACTCGCACATTTTCAAACTTGCAACTCGCATTTTCCAACTCGCAACTTGCACAAAAGAAACCCTCCTGTTTAGACTATCAATTTTTTTTTCCAAAAACACATGGTACATGTGAATATGGTCTTGATGACATCGCATCATGACCATATATAGGAACATCATGAAAATATACTGTATGGACACTACAGTTTTTGGTTAGGCCAATGGTGTCTCTCTAGGTAATGTAGGGACAACATCTTATAGCCTAGGCCTATCACTCATATCTACAATCCTATCTGAACAGCTGTATAATGCCTCATAAAATTTTGTTTCAAAGCAAATACAATTACAGATTTACAAGCATAAAAAATACAGGTTCTACTATAACTAAGTCAATATAAATCAATTGATAAGGAAATGTCAAATAAAAGACCATAGCAAAGAGAAAGGAAATGAACTACAAGAAATTGCTACACACTTGGGTAGCACACGTCCCATGTGGGCAGTTAAGAACTGACCTTGCATTTTCCTAACCACAATTTTCTCATGATGAAATGGATGTATCTTTATTTTTTTTCACATTTTGATTTTGTGTTTTTGTTACTTAATTCATATTTTTTTAAATTATAATACTTAGTGTTGACCATCACTGTCACAACCAACCAAACAAGCTATAGGATTTTTTTTCTTGCATTAATCTAACCTTCATATACAGTAATAAATTTCCACTACTGCATTACACACAACAATTCTAATTGCTTATTAAGGAGGTTTGTATTACTTGAGCATTATAATGAAGAGGTCTGTAAGCACTTGAGAATGTTAAAAACATAATAAATTAAAGTGTATCAATAAAATATTTAAAATTCTATAAAAATATATACAAATAAATATTACAATATCTAAATTATCTATTTATTAAACTTAATTTGGTTTTTTTTTTCTTAATTTCATGTATTGATTTATTAATGTCGTTTGATTGTGATTTTAATTATTTCTTTTTTTAATTTCTTTCTATTTTTCTTGTTTATTTTTTTTTCCAGAGTGGCTTTTAGCCTTGTATTTGGTGAATTCTGAAAAAGTATTGCAAAGAACCTCTCAGTGGTTCATCAGCGATTTCTAACCTCATTCATATACAGTATTGCCAATATAATTCATCAACTGATATTCAATTTCATAAATCAGCTGATCACAAAATATGACAATATCAACAATGATTTCATTCAGTATCAATTGTCTTAACAAGATTACTACTGCACTCGACATCAGCGATTGCAAATACTACAGACAACAATGAGGTTTATGCATATTGAGTAAAAGATTCAAGCAGTGCCAACACCCAATGGGCACCTGACCTCTGCAACCAAATGTAGTCACAGCGCCTATCGTAACAATAAGTCCAATGTATCCTACTAATAGTAAGTATCATCCTTAATTTGAAAAGCTGTCATCTTAGAGGTTGTTTTTGGGTTGATCTCGGAAGAGAATCAAGTTTCGACCCAGCCCCAAATTCCTCTTGCCTCAAATCCACAATTGCATAATACTGACCTTCTCAACGACTGACATACTACAGTATGGTCTCAAAAAAAGAAAGTTTTAGTACATTATGTAATAAGTCTATAGAATGCGAGTATGGCGATTCTGAAGAATGACAAACGTGAGGCCATAAGTGATTCTATGTTTTGATCTTTATTAGGACATTGTCGAGAATGAATATAAATAAGTCTAGATGTGAAATTTAGAATATGTCTGTTTTAAAAAACTACAGTACCTTAAGCCAAACAAAAAAATTTACTATTTTTTCGTCTCCTCGGGCATCCATTTCCTCTGCCTCACCAATTTTGTTTTTTTTTTTTTTCAAATTTCCTTCATTTTTACAAAATGTACGAAAATCTGGCTTCTCACATCAGTAAAATTTCTCTCTCGATCATTCATGTTTGGGGATACATATGGTATAAATCATGTCTAGTGCTTCTTTTATTTGATTTCAATGTGTAAGTGAGAAAATAGTAGTTGTTTAACATTAACAGTCTTAGATTTGCCATCTCGGTGTAAAAAAAGAAGAAAAAAAAGTGCTCTCGTTCTTTTTTTTTTTCCAAAATATTAGGACGAGAAACTACTTTCTTTTTACTTGGTAGGCAGATATTTTTAAAAGGTTTTATTTTTAAAATTTTTAAAAATTTCTAATTTTTTTTTTTTTTGTGTGTTGCGTTTTGATTACTTCCTTTCAATGTTTCCTGTGAATTGATTTTGGTTTGTATTGTTTTTGTTGGCAGGGGTTCGGTTAAGCACATCAACTGATAACAGTTTTTAACTTTTGCTTTTCCTCAGCACCACTGTTCAACTTTTTCTGTTCTTTGTCGAAAGATTGAAAATAAATGAATAAATGAATAAATATTGTAATTAATTCTGAACCTTTTATTTGTTTGTTTTTATTGTCATTGTTGCATTTTTATTCACACTTATCATTATCACTGTTTAAAAGTCTATTGTTCCTTTCACATGAAGGTTATTTAATTATTTATTTAATCTTTCTTTGTACTGTAGGCACTTTCAGTTCTATAATGAAACATATACTGTACAGTGTAATCTAAATAATGAACAATAATGTAGACGTTGGTCCATCGTCTGCACATTAAATAATAGATATGATTTAAGAGGAGACAATAGGGAATGTGGTCAAACACCTCATCTTATCTAGATTGAGACTGATATGAATAACCTTTTGAATATTCATAAATCAAATAAAAAAAAAAACATTCTGAATATTACTGCATAAAAAATGACATAGGCCCTCAAAATTTGATCAGCTTCTACCGGGGTTAATTGGTTTACTGACCCGGTAATCCAAATATCCACAAGTGTGACCGTAATCCTGATAGCTTAAGTCCTCTAGATCCAAGAGAAGTCTTCAGAAACCAAGAGCAATCCCAGAGAAAGGGTTTCCATCACACTCTACTGATCCCCACGGCGCGGATGGATCAACTGGATTTTTCTGCATAGCAACATTCAAACTGAGAAGGTCTTACTAGCATACTATCCAGATAAGCTCAAGTACCTTATGTGGAAGATGGTGTTTGCACTTAGTCATACGCAAAGCTGTCACAGCTAGAAAACCAGCTTAAAATGCACGATACTCTGGCGTTTTCACGCCAAGAATATTATCACATAAGCTTTGGTAATGTACATGCGTTCACAGGTACAGTAGTCTTTGATAAAGCCGAGATTTACATGAATTAAAACCATCATAGGAATCATTCATTGGATAATGATTATCATCTCTCAAATGCTGTAAAGAATCTGTAAACCGTAGGAAGCTTTGGGACAAAATGATGGTGTCTAAAATTCAATCTGCTGTTCTTCACTTCTGCACCTCTCACATTGTACCTTCCATTAAAATATAATCTTGGCACAGGCCCCTTCTGCAAATGGGATCTCAGTGATATTCATAATTAAAATAACAACAACAAAATAATTACAGCATTTATAAATGCATTGTACAGTAATGTACAGTATCTTCTATATAAAGAAGCTACTATAACCATATAGAATATAGTATTTACCATGGAAAAGTTCTATCAACTGTTATTATTTCACCCATTTAATACACCATTTACAAAAAAATGATACCTACATTTATCATTAACAATGTCAAATCTACCTCTAGTAGTGCATGCATTAAATATAGATGATTAGTTAGTGTGCAAGGTATTTTCCCGGAAGCCAGCAAAGTTGATACAGTAAATCTTATGCCTTCAAAATCCACCTGTTGCCCTGTCTGGCCTCTCTTTATGACCAGGTACAATAATGTACATTACTGCAAAACAACAGTTAGTCCCTATAAATTTAAATACCACAATTACATTATCTGGATAACTACAACTTTAAACAGTTTGAACTTACTGTAAAAGAAAAAAAAAAACACATTGATATCAGCATACTCCTTAACAATACAGCTATGCTAATGCACGTACTACAAATATAGTTTATAATTATTTACTTTAACTGATAAAAGATTGGCTTAGCTTTAAGCATCTATATATATACTGTATATAATGATACAAAGTTTACCTCTGCGATATTAGACCATTTGATATTGAAGTCATTAATTATCAATTTAAAATGTGGGTTGGTTGTTTACATCTAAAATTCAACAATAGTGTAGATGTCAAAGGTTACCATTTATTAAAAGCTATGGACAA